AGAAATGAACATTTCGGTACAAAAAAATACATCATCTTTCTATCCATCAGATGTTTATCTCGAGTTGCAGACTTTTGTACCGTCTGAATGAGCAGCTACTACCGAGATTACGCTTGCATTCCTATTGATTCTTTATTATGGACCAGATGTCCATCCAGAACCAGCTGGCTATTTCTCATATTATTGACTTGAATACTGACTGTTATTACTAACATTATGCAGATGCAATAATCATTTCATCTGAAATTATTGTTCCAGAAGTGAATTTGTTGAAAAATTATATGCTGAGAATTCCATACTATCATACATATTGTTCGGAATAAAGTGATTATCATTATTATTATTAGAAGTAAAAGCTGAATTGACATGAACACATCATGTATCGATAGTCAAAAAGGTTGCGATAAAAGTGAACCAACGCAATGGTCAAATACTTTGAAGCCGGCAATAGACTTCATTTGAGCTAAGACAATAAAAATATTGAAGTAGCTTTAATATCACGTAACCTCGCCTAGGTAACTAGTTCACTAGTTGCTAACCGGTCCAAAGCCCGGATAAAGAGGGAAGGTTGGGAATAGGGCTAGCAACCCTACACCATAAAACCAATCTAACTGCTAAAAAAAACTTCAAAGCGCAAAGAAAATTTAAAAAATAAGAATAAACTTATTCCTCGCTGGAATTGAGGAGACTAAATGATCCCGGCTGACAAAAGACTTCTGGAAACCAACTGGCCGATGTGTCTTCTCTCTCTCTCCCTTGATGAAAGCAAAAGTAAACATGGAGACATGGAATGTTTGAACTTAGCAAGGCTTCCCAGACTGCAAGAGAGATGAGAATGTATGGTACAGAATTGCTTGGAATCTGCGAAAGTAAATGGAATGGAAGTGGACTCTCCAAACTTCCAACTACAGAGGAGTCAATAATCTACTCCGATATTGTCACCCAGACGATAACCAAGAGCACTCTGAGTTTTGGAGTGGCTATCATGATGTCCCCAAGAGTCTCAAAGACCTTCATGGAGTGGGAGCCGATCTCCTCCTGCAGGATCAGGATCATGACAGCAAGGTTTAACTCAAAAGGAGGGAAGGAAAGTCACAATCATACAATGCTACGCTAAACTAAGCACCTACAAATAATGCAGATAAAGAGAAGAAGGAGGAATTCTACAGACAACTTTATTCAGTAATGAAGAAGATCCCAACCCAGTTGGCGACATCAAATTCATTCTAATGGATGGGGCGACATGAATGCCAAAGTGAGAGTGGACAACACAGGAAGAGAAGTCATCATGAGTGGAGAGGCACTCGGTTGAATGCATGAGAATGGAGAAGTGTTTGCAGACTTCTGCGCATTTAATGATTTGGTGATTGGAGGGAGGCAGTGTGTACAAACACAAGGATATTCACAAGGCAGAGACATGGATTTGATTTCACCAGATGGACCCACTACAGTAAAAATCAGATCGACTTGATCTCAATGTGAAGAAAGTGGAGACGCAGCCAGCGTACTGGATACAAGATGAGATGGAGACGAGGAGCAGATGTAGGTTCCGATGATGAGACAATCTAGTGGAAGAAAGCTATCTTGAGAATGAAGTCGAAAGCCTTCAAAGAAGCTGTTGATAAACCTCCAGAGCAGAAACCATAGGACGAATCTACAAAGGGACTTCTCTACGTCAGTCATTATGAAAAAATGGGAGACATTAGGCAGCATCCCGGTGATGTTGGAACTTGATAGATAAGTGAGAGGAAGATGGCGACTCAGAAGATGAAGCAGTGCGGTGAAAGGATGAAGAGCGGAAAGAGGAACTGAGTACAACTTATAAAACATTACCCTGGACAGCGAAGCGAACAGGCTGCAGGCTAGTAGGAACGACCTGACAACACTCCATCAAATAACCAAAATACTATCTGGGAAGAGATCAACTCAGATGAAAGCAATGAGAGGTAGTGAAGGAAATCGAGCTACCACCAATGAGGAGGAACAAATGAAACGACGGGCTGACCACTTCAAAACACTCTTGAATCGACCACCGTCACCACAACCACCACAACCACCTGGAACTCCTCCACAAATACTACAAGCAGTCCAGCCACAGAACCACCAATAAACACAAGACGTCCGACTAAAGCAGAAGTGAAGTTTTGGATGCCATAAAGTTGCTGAAAACCAAGAAGGCAGCAGGACCAGATGGAATTCCTCCAGAAGTACTGAAAACAGACATAGAGACATGTGCAGCGGAGATGCTCACACCACTACTGCAGAAGGTTTGGAAGGAAGGAAAGGTGGTTGCCTATTGAAAGAAGGGCTACCTTGTCAAACTCAAAAGAAGATCGACCTATCTCTTTGCAAGAACTGGTGTGGAATCATGCTACCGCACACCCCATGCAAAATATTAAGCCGCATCCTGGAGAAGGCTAAAAAATGCCCTGGATACAAAATTACGACATAAAGAGGCTGGGTGGCTTCAGGAAAAACAAATCATGTGCGGATCAAATCACGACGCAACATTACGCATCATCATAGAACAGAGTATAGAATGGCAGTCAACTGGATCTTTACCTCAGCTTCATCGATTTCGAAAAGGCCTTCGACAGTGTCGACCAAGAAGTAATTTCGCAGCTGCTTCAACACTACGGATTCACTGCTACAAACCTTTATCAACATCATTCAACAGCTATAGGACGACGAGACATGCCAAGTGATTCACAATGGAAAGCTGAGTGACGCCTTTCAAGCGAAGACAGGAGTGAGACAAGGCTACACCTATCATTACCCATCACCTTCGAGATTGTGCTCCACTCGACTTTACTGGATCATGCAACAAATCGTGGGGAGCGAGAAGAAGGGCATACGCTGGACCGATGAAGATTTGGATTTCGCCGATGATTTGTGTCTAATGACGCACAAACTCAAAGATCTACAGGCAAAAACCAACAAGTTCACAGAAGAGACGAGTCAGAAAAGACGAGACTTCCTTCAGGGGAACGTAGAGAAGACAGAGGTCAGATAAAAAAATAATAATAATTTGATATCACGTGCTGAATATCTCATCAACTCCCAACACACTGAGGATATGATCTGAATAGAAAAAAAGACAGAGGGAATCAACGTAGAACCTCGCATATTGATGCATCGCCTCAAGTTCTCACACTCTACAGTAGTATACAAAAAACAGGTTGATAGGATAAGAGTGATATCAAAGAAGATAAAGTAGTGTGAAAAAACAAACAAACTGAAAATAACGGTTAATATGAACATTCATGCTTTAGAAGATGTTGAGGAGTGATTACATCTACACCATTGTGATCGACTTTCAGCCCTTTCACCAAGAGTTCTCAACCACTGAATCCTGACGTCTCGTGGACCCCAGCCTGACAGTTTACATCTCCCCACACGGCTCAGACCAACAGTAAGTGACTACATCGATTGGTGCGACATCTTGATCTGGCCACCCTGAACCCTCTTTCAATCTAATCCAACTTCCTCTGGCATATTACTCTGAGGTAGGCGAAAAATGGAAGAATAATGATACTGGGGTAGATAAGTGTATATGAGATTACTATTTTATTATTGTTTGTCTCTTGGGTTTCTAGTTGAACATAGGGTTTCAGTAGCAAGTTTCCAGTGTACTATGTTCTCTGCAGTCTTTTGAACCTGGCTCCAAGAATGCTCAGACGCTTTCATTCCCTTGTCACACCATCTCCTTCATGTCACCCTCAACTCGGACATCCAACTCGTTGTTTCCCATCTGGCTTCTACTCGACGGCCTGACCTAGCCTGTCATATGATATCCCCAAACCGTCTTCTCAGTGTATTCCCAATCCAATCCATCTCCACTCTCTTCTTCTGCATATTTGTTGGGCGATAGGTTCTTGGTCGGTCGGTTCGTTGCCAGTCAGGCAGAGTTCCTCGTTGCTTATTCTTTTTAGCCACCTGATCTGATCTTCAGTATTGAGTCAGCATAGGCGGCAGATGTTGATGAATGTCTGTAGTTTGTTGGAAATGCTTCTCGTAATGCGCCAACTCTCTCAATGACCACATAGAAGTACTGAATTGACATTGGTGTTAAAATCCGGATCTTGTTCTTTATGCTGAGTGCAGTAGATTAATGAAGGCCTGTCTTGCTTTTCTGATCCTGGCTTTGACGTTCTTATCTGTGCCACAAGTGGTTGAAACTATGCTGTCTAGGTAGGTAGGTAGGTAGGTGAAAGAGACAACTTCCTTTAGGTTTCTCCTGCTGATGGTGATTGGTGCTTGTTGTTTTCGGCTGGATACCTTCATCACCTCCGTCTTCTCTACGTTCACCCGAAGAAAGTCTCATCTTTTCTGACTCGCCTCTTCCGTCAATTTGTTGGTTTTAGCCTGTAGATCTTCGAGTTTGTGCGACATTAGACATAAATCATTGGCGAAATCCAAATCTTCTAGCGTCTTTTCATCGGTCGAAATGTATATGAACTAGGGGAGGACAAACAGATGAAAATCAATGAAAGAATTCGGATGTGATAACCAGTGTATACATTTGTGCCATTGGGACCGATTTCGGGACATATCACTTCAAGGGTATTAATTACGGTCCGAAAGTTAAATATCTTATCCAGTAAGCTACAATCCCATAACTTTTCGACCAGCTAACTGTTGGAAGGCGGTAGATTTGCACAATACATTGTCTATTAACCTGAACATCTTTAAATTATCGTTTTCGTGCCATTTTTACGGAATAGTCAGTAGTTCACCATTCCCCACCCCTTTATTTCCAAGGTGATTGGTCAATGCTTGCTCTTACTATGTTAATTTTTCAAGTTCTGGCGAAAGTCATATGACATGAATATTAACACATGTGTTCTTCAGTTAAGTGACCATTCTTCTCGGGGGAATTAACTCTCCCATCCAGTTCAGTCTTCTCTATTTCGTCCAGTGTTCGAGTTGGTGGATCTTGAGTACCAAGTTAGTCGGTTACAGGGAATATTCCATGAAAATAGGCGAAAAGAAATACTTACGCGAAGCCATTTTCAATTATCCGCTCTATATATTTAATAATTGGATCAATGTATTCTGTAACGCGAACAAGTACGGAGGGAGGAAGAACCTAGAGATCAAAAATCGCAGAGAAAGAAAAGTACTATAACTACCAACAAGTTGACAAAAGATATTCCATAAGCTTTTAATTCCACACGTTAGTTGTCTATTTGATACACAAAAAACAGTGGCACAGAATTTACTAGACAACCTTACTAGCACAATTTTATTGCTCATACTCATATCAGAAAATTCAGACAACATTCAAACTTCCGTTTTACAGTGCAACAAGAGATCATCATTATTTTTCTTTTACAAGCAAAATAATTTTTTCGAATATCAATAACATATGTTGAATAGCTCCCATTGTATGTATTACTAAGTGGTGATTCGATGAACCGAAATTCAGAAATTCATCTATTCGCCTAAAGAGCTATATTGGACTTCAGAACCGTCACTGAATCACACTTCATAGGGGGATTGATTATGAGTCAGCGCCTACATGACGATTACCCAGTTTCCCTCAGATGTGGTTGAATAGTTCAATAGTGTCATTCTAGACTTGAACACGTATCACATAGAGCTATATATATATATATATATATATATAGACGAAATACAATACTGTTTTGGGCCTATTAAATCATGTCATTGTGTTTAACAAAAGCTTCACAAATTAAAAAGTGTAGTTGAAATTACCGATGAAATTACCACTGATTGAAAAGGGAATCGCCAAAAATGAAAATTTTTATAAAAGTGATATTGCTTTGGAAGGTGTGTGGAAAACAAAGATCTGAAATTTTCAAGTCATGAATCAGAAAAGTTAGTAGGTGATACCCACCCCCACCCCAAAGATACGTATACTGTGGATGACAGCATTTAGAATTTGAAGAAGAATTCGTCCGTCTATGCCTTGAAGACAGTAGTACAATTAACAGTAAAAATGATACTCATTGATTGTCACCTATGACCGCGTAGGCTTCACAACCTCCTTAAACATATGACCAGCAAAAAAAGCGAAAAGTTGCGGTGCACCAAAATATAATTATCATTATTACAATTACTAGAACAAACATGGTATAGCAAGGGCAACAAGAAATACACCACAGGTGTAGCGAAGAACCGCTCACACCGAAGCGTTTTAAACTCAACCTTTCACTGTCAGACTAACGTCGTGATATCGCCAAAGATGGTCCAGATTGGCGTATGCCACTCATGCTTTCGATATGTGGTTAGAAACTTCATCATTCACACCTCCAGTAGCATTCAAACAACTAGCTAGATACACGAACTTCTCGACTACTTTCAATGGCTCAATACCACTGGGGGCTAATGCTACTTACCTGATTGCCGAAATCTTGACAAGTGGAGTGGAGTTTGAACTCCTGACATGAAGGCCGGGTTTTTCCACAGAATGTGAGCTTAGCACTAACTAACTGAAGTGAATAAAAATGGTAGAGATTTTTTCCGCACATTTTCCCCAATCTTCAGCACGAAGAAGCGGATTTACACAGGAAGCTTCATCGAAAACGTTGAAACTTTGAGCTTCAAAAGTTGACATGATAAAAAAAACAATAAAAAAGTTCGTCTTATGTGAAGAAACTAATAAAAACTTGAACTTTGACCTATGCTGAGGCACAAATGCAATATATATTAGGATCAAAACACTACACATCTCAACTCTATGTGAAGGGGGAAATCAGTTACAGCTTCTTGAGGTATTTAGTAACGAAAACAATTTTGAAGACTAATTTCGAAAGAGAAGACAACCATACTGTATGAATCAGCTATTGACTGGCTCAACAAAAAATGTCATCTATTACAAAACTATTCTTGAAATAGTTGTAGAATTTAAAATTCCACTGGCGTTAGAAATTGAAAACATGAAACGATTATAGGATTTTGATAACAGATACCTTCGTAGTATTACTCGCATACGATGGAACCATCTTGTGAGCAATGTTGAAGTCACAAAAAGGGTACTAGACAAGACAGACATGTCAATTTATAACATTGTGAACCTTCATCGACTGATATCGTTTCAATGTGTATTGCACATGCCGAGTTACCTCCTAACCTCGAGAAGTCGGATTAGTTTGGGAGAGGGTTCATTCAACGTGGCCAGATCAAGATGTCGCACCAATCGATGAAACCTCTTGCTGTTCAGCTGAGTCGTGTGGAGAGATGTAGACTGTCAGGCTGGAGTCCACGAGACGTCAGGATTCAGTGGTTGAGAACTCTTGGTGAAAGGGCTGAAAGTCGGTCACAATGGTGTAGATGTAATCACTCCTCAACATCTTCTAAAGCATGAATGTTCATATTAACCGTTATTTTCAGTTTGTTTGTTTTTTCACATTACTTTATCTTCTTCGATATCACTCTTATCCTATCAACCTGTTTTTTGTATACTACTGTGGTGTGAGAACTTGAGGCGATGCATCTACACACGAGGTCCCACACTGATTTTGTCAGTCAGTCAGTCACTCGCATATTTTACTGGAATGCTACCTAATGAGAAAAAGGTTACTTAGTTCAAAACCGTTCACATAAATAATGACGTAACTGAGTCCAGCACAGATTTATGTATTAGGTTAAAAGCCAAACATGTTGCGGGGCCTGGTTTTCCCCGATCTTAACAGATGACACAAAGTTAAACTCATTAAGACTTGTATTGTGCCAGTGGTAAGTCAGTGCAGCACCTCGTCCTCTATGTGGTATTTTTTGAAAACTTGAGATGATGGGAAATAGCCATTATCTTGCCACTGGTAAAACGTTTCTCGATATCAATCGTAAACGCAGCTGAACTCATATTGAAAGTTTTTGATCTTTTCACATTTGTAATGCCATTAAAATGCAGCAGCTGTATCTCACAATAGTCGGAAGCTATTCCAGCTCATCCGAGCTACTGACAGCGAGAAGCCAGGTGTCAATGACACGGTTTTGCGAGGTAGATGATACGCCGATAGACAATATTCAAAAACGCCCGGGACATTGGCCGGGGCACTTCGAAAAGCAGTTTAACGGGACCACGGTTTCAGCATTGTCAGCTTCAGTGTACTGTGATCTATGGTCAGTCAACACTGACCAATTTATCGAAGTGGAGGTTCATAAGGAACGCCAAGTTCTGAAACGCTAAAAAGTAGCCGGCCCAGACAACTTACTCCAGGATCCTTTTAAGGATGGAGGGACGACTCTAGTCAGGGAATCGACTAGATTGTTCGAGAATGAATAACACATCGAGATTGTCCTATCACTCTGGAATGAGGCCATTATTGTGCCCATTTTTTAAAATGGTCTGCGTAATGTACGTGACAATCACCAGGGTATTAGTCTGTTGCCAGTCGCGTCGAAAATATTGGCTGCTGTAACACTTCGGAGACTTTGCAAAACACGTGAGAAAATGATTCGAGAGGAGTAGGTCGGGTTTAGTTTACGTCGTGGATGCATTGATCATCTGTTTACCTTTCGCCAAATGCTTTGACGTCGCCAGAAGTATTGCAAGCTAACAATTGTTGTTTCTCGACACTAGAGCTGCCTTCGCTTCGCTGGACAGAGCTGTACTCTGAAATTTTCCGTTAGAAAAGGGTGTCCCTGAGAAATTTATCAATACACGGAAAGTTTTATATAATAAAGCCTCAGGTTGAGTTAGGGCATACAACCATCTGTTTACATTTCTCCAAACCAGCAGTGGGGTTAGACAAGGTTGCTTCATTTCTCCATCCCTTTCTAACTTTGCCACTGATGACATTGTTGAGACAGCTTTGAAGGAAATGTGTGATGGTGTAGATCTACTACCCGGAGAACGGCTATTCGACCTTGAATATGCGGGCGATATCGTCTTACTGTGCGATAATACACAAGCTATGAAAATCGCGTATGGCGATTAGTGTCCGTAAGTATGGTATGTACTTTTCATTATCGAAGTGCACAGTAGTTTTGCAAGAGTGACAGAAGCTTATGTCTGAAGTGATCCTAAGTGAGGAGCCGTTGAAAGTAGTCAAGAAGTTCGTGTTTCTAGCTAGTTGTTTAAATGCTGTTGAAGGTGTGTGCTGAGATTTCCAACTGCAAATCGAAAGCATGAGTGGCATACGCCAATCTGGACCATCTTTGGCGATATCACGACGTTAGTCTGACAGTGAAAGGTTTAAAAGAGTTTAAAACGCTTCGGTGTGAGCAGTTCTGGCCTACGCCTGTGAAATCTGGCCTATCCGAGCTGAGGATGTGATAACTTTGTGTTCAGTCATCGTTGTCTCTGTAGGATTGTTAGTACCCAGTGGCAACATCATACAAGTAATTCTGAGGTACGATAGCGTGTGTTTCGACATGATGTAGACTGTTATTCACTAAGTGAAGTCATCTGGAAACATCGGCTTCGATGACTTGGACACATGTTACGTATGTTGTCCCAACGGCTTCCATACCGTTAATTGTTTGCTAACCCTGGAACTGGATGGAAAAAGTGGAAGGGCGATCAGTGTATGACGCGGCGCCGTGGGATGAAGGATAGTTGTATCGGGTTAGCGTCTGTTGGTGTATCACGACTCCTTGAGTGTGGTCCGAGAGATCATGCAACCCACTGGCTCCAGACATTTTCAGATACGGCTCAGAATTCAAACCAGTGGTGGTCATACTGTAGCTTTCTTCCATCTTCTTCTGTAGAAAAGTATTGGATGCATTGTTTTGAATGTATCTTACTGGACTGCCCTTATAATTATTCTATTCTTTTTGCGTTTGTCTATTCCAATTATCCACTTCACATTGCTTGATGTCTTTGTAATGTTACATTATTTTATGTGGTGCATTTCTTGGTGCCCTTGTTGTACTATGTTTATTCTGATGATGGTGATAACAATAAATAACTATTATTATTATTATTATTATTATTATTATTATTATTATTATTATTATTATATCAGTAAATTGCAAACCGGGACACATAAAAGCAGGATAACGGTAAAGCAAGCATTTTGGCTTTCACCAATAAGTAAAATTTATTTATACTCACATTTAAGGCCGCCATATCTGCAAGATATTCTTTCTCATAATATCTAGCCAACACTTCGAATATCTGATAGTCGCAAACAGAATCCCCATGAGCTGCATCCACGACATCTGCGATAGCATCACGAGCATGTTGAACAAGAAAAGTAATTGGATTCTCCTTACTAGGTGGTACAGTAGACAGAACCGATATAAGACGGTCAACTTCAGCACTTAAGTATGCCTTTTTATCTGAATCTGATTCAGTCAACAATTTTGATTTTATACGCTGTAAAATAAATTGTGAATTAACAGACTGGTAAAAGCTACAATTAACAGCAGTTTTAAAATAATTTTAAAAAAATTGTCCTAAAATGACTATATGATGTGATTATAAGTGAAACACTATCCTTTAAGAAAGATCAACAGAGTGAATAATACAAAACAAGAACCAATAAAGAGAATCATGAAATCATGATATTTACTGGAAGTTCAGTATCAAAAAGAGATAAAATTGAAATGCACTCACCAACCTTGTGCACACTCGTGTAGTAGGCAAGGAGCCACACTTAGCATGTGAGGACTGTCCAGATTTTCGTAGGTGGTGCTGGGCTGGAATCCGTGACCAATTGGCTGAAAGTCATCTCCCCAAACCAATTGGTCACAACTCTATTCAAAATAGATACATGGCTGACAGGCTATAAATAGTTCGTAGTGTTTCATATAACAAAAACCTCTGTCAGCAAATGCAAAGGATAACGCCTCATAGATGAGTACCAAAAAACACGAAACCTACGTCCAGTTGATTTTTGATCGACTTCAACAATGTAACACCAGAACAGAGTGCACCACAGCTTTCCGTAACTTAGCTCAGTGATCGGATTGCAAAAATGATAACAGACTTCGTACGGTTCTGAACACTTAGTACTTCATACAGATTATCACTCAATAGTCGATTCACGGATAAAATCCATCAGACTGATATGACAAACTTGACACTACTGTATATTAGCACAGGCTGCCATAAACATTACAGTACTACAAAATATAAGGCAATGAGACAAAAGGTAGAGAGATAGAAATAATGTTATCCAAAGTCGCAGAAGCCAGGACAGAAGACAAGAAACGCCGAATAACGTTTTTGATGGCCGCAATAAAAAATGAAAATCACGCATAAATGCTTCCACACCACTAAGATAAATTCTGGACCATATTATCGAAACACCAACTGATTATTTCGCTTGCTTCCTGGAACCATAGTTCACATTCAGTTAGCCACCGACCGACAATGGCTGATCTTACTTCCAATCTAATTTCATTCATAAACTCGTTCAACCGCTAAAAGTAGCGTTTAAGTTCACTTTAACTCTATGCACTTTTTCCTACTCTGATAAATTACACTTTCTCTACCCACTTGTTCTCTCCATCCCACCAGAAATCTCCGGAAAAAGTTCCATTTAGAGCAATCACCTCAGAATCTACAACTGTAAAGTAAGTTAACATCCACCGATACACCCCTTTGCGGGGTTCCACGTAGGTTTTCTCTCTGTCACTTAACCTCACGAGGCCAACATGGTGAAATTACAAAATCCAACCTATGAGTTTTCAAAGATTCCACTCCTAGTTCCCACAGTCTTCCAGGTGTAGGTAGGTATCACATTACGTGCCAAGGCAGAGAGTGCACTACTCAATTGGATCTCATGTGACAGTCACCTGTGCGCTGTTCGACTAAACGGCACAGTGACGACCAAAACAAATGGTCAAACTGGCCGTCGTCTCTTTGTAATCCATGCTTACGCCTTCCCACCTACTCACTGCAGTTCAGATGAAGTGAAAGATGAACTCTACTAAAAATTGACAAGCCTCCAACAAAAAACCAAACATTCAAATGTGGTTTTTGCAGCAAGTGATTTCACATCACAATTGGGAAGGCTAATTCAGAACAGAAAGGCACTAAGGTGCCACTTTTAGAATCCCAGAAAAACAAACAGATAGTGGTTACCGCTTGCTAAAAATACACTCAGAAAACCATCTTTTTCTGGTCCCCACCAACTTCAAACATAAAGACAGAAATGCACACCAGTTTCAACCCAACAGAGGACACAACCCATTTCGATAGCAGTTGTCACTGAGACGGTCACTCGACGATTACAGTTCCTTCTGCAGCACGTGAGGTACTAGTTCGAACACGCACATGTACTCACCTAAATAGTCCAGGAAAAACTACAGAAACAAAGCCATTTCGAGTCCAACTCGATGGTGAGAGTATTAAGACTGCGTTCAGCGCGAAGCTGACTAGACAATCATCGGAACACAACAAAATCTCCTATCCAGAAGAAACCTCGTCCCATCTCAAGTCTGCTGCAAAACAGCGTTAAACGGCATAGCTGACTCCCAGAGAGCGGTTACAAAGAGCCACTGAATAAACCAATGCTCGTGATGAACCTATTCCTGCAGGCTCCAAGCACAATGAAGAGTGGAAACAACTCAATTGTAGACCAGAGAAAAGTCCATCCAATGACTGCGAGCAGTGATGAGCAACGATAGCTAAAGAGATGAAAAAGGCTGTGGTGACAAGTAACAGTAAATAGCTAGCTATCTAGAACTATCAAAGATATTGAAGCAAAAAGGCCAATGGTAAGCGAAACTATACCGGAGAAGGACGGATCGTAGAGACGAATAAAGCGAGCAGAATACTTTGAAGAATAGTTCAATCGACCTTCAGCTACTATCACTTTGTCCGCTATCTAGACAGACCCGAAACGAAATACAGATACAGAATCCAACACTCTCAGAAGTTCAGAAAGCTGTGAGTAGTCTGAATCCAGGAGGAACAACAGGGTTAAATGGACTATTACCGAAGATATCTTGGGACGGTGGTCGAGGATTATTTATCATGTCAACCTTAAGGCTAGCTAGTGTATAGATGAACAAGCATGATGCCCCACAACTCTCAGTCAGTGGCTGTCCCAATCTTCAAACAGATAGACAAAATCAACATACAATCTAGCACACTAGATCATCACTTCGAGTTACCACACTTCACAGTAGCACACAAAGAACAAGTGGATAGGACAAAGGTGCATCGGGGGAGAGGAAATTTAAAAACCAAGGCCAATCAAAACACGCAAGCTGCAGAAGACACTAACGAGTAAACAAGCCTGAACCATTGTTGTCGATTCTCAGCCATTTCATCGACAGTCCTCAACCGTTAATTCTGATTGTATCAGGGACCCAGACAGACAGTCTACACCTCCCCACACTCCGCAGATCAACAGTCAAGGACATCATATACTGGAAACACATCTTGGTCTCGCCACCCTGAATACTTTGCCAATCTAACACGATTCCCGCTGGCACCACACGTCAAGGTAAGCGGCGGCTCAGCATATGCAATGCATGTTCAAGCCACCTCAGTCAACGAAGGTTCGCAATCTTATCAACTGGTATCCCACTTTTGTCTAGTCCCCACGCAGTGATTCCACAATTTGCCACCAATGCTACGAAGACACCAGTGTTCAAAAACTCCTAACCGCTTCCTATCTTCTACTTTTAGCAACCCTGTCAAACAACTGGATAACACGAAACGAACTGCAGAGCAGTATGCTCCTTCTTCAATAGGTAGTCGGATACCTCGCCGGCTTCATAGATGATGCCTTCAAGAAAGGGGAGGAGTCCTCCTGTGGTAATCATAGGGGAATCAGTCTGACAAATATGGTGTCTATGACTCCAGGTTCTATAATCATCAAACATCTACGCGGAGCTCAGGAACAGAAATCCGAAGGAACCAAGCAGGACTCAAATCTGGTCGAGAACGTATCGACCAGATATTCACCGCTCACCTCCCACCCTCATCAGGTTCGGGAACACAAACACACCAACCGACTCCTGGCGCTAGCTGTCTTTCTCGAAATAAAGGCGGCATTCGACACCATCAACCGACAGGTCCTTTGGCAGTGCCTCTCATCGAAAGAAGTGCCAACTAAGTACATTATTCTCTTGAAGACTGCACTCTCAAAATCCTATGGGCATGTGAGACCCTATGGTCAGGCATCCGGTGACTAGTGAACGTCGAGTGGTGTCCGTCAAGGATGTCCACTTTTTACATTCTTATTCAACTTCGCCATACACGTACTTATAGAGTTCTCCTCGTCGCCTGACTTCACACAGATTAATCCCGTCTCAGGAAACTCTTCAATTAACCTACAGTACGCAAATTACAGTCCTGTTAGGCAAAAATCACTTGAGAAGTGTCATCAAGCTTGGTGGATCAGTGACCGATGAAACCTTTGCACGAATAGAAAACGCTCACTTGACCCTTGACAACTTACGCTATTTATGGTGCCTCCTTGATATCCAATCGCCTACTATGGGTAGTGTACTGCACCGCGGTCACTATTCTACTGCATAACTGTGAAAAACGATCAAGGGTGGAGGACACGCGAAGGCTTCACGTTTGTTAACCTGTTGCCCTGGTAACACAAGTCATGACACGGAACCACTACATCAATAATGCAGAATTCAGGTGTAAAGTTTCAGGTAGAAGCTCAGCCAATAACTGCTACCTTAACATGCAGGTTGGGCTTGAATATCACAATGATCCAACGAGCTACGCCATCTGGAACGCTTGCTCCATCAAGGTCCTACCATTCCAGAAAGGTCTCTTGGATAGTGGTAAGACGAAAAGCAGTCACCTTCCTAGTCTAAACTGATACACTATGATAGGGTCCAAGGGCGAAGTCTTACTGCTTCTAGCTGGGTGGGTGTGACAACAGTAAGGTATTTCCCTTGGATGACCGGCGGTGCTACGCTGACGCTGCCTTCCTTACAGGAAGAGGGGTTTAGGAACGATCGGTCCAAAAAACAGCATACTCCTCCCTGCCCCACGGTCTTTCGGTGCCGGCGATATGAGTTTTTCTCTCCGGCGCTAGAACAACCAAATCTCAAAACAAAAACCGACAATCAGCAAAAGCCTGCATGTGACAGACCTCAAGCAGGTGTCCCATGAGCTCTGTGGTCACAAACCTTTTTCTCTCTCAAGTACCCTCAGAAGAGGAACCTCAACTGATGAGGTTGTCAACCTTCATTGACTCAGCTGAGAAGTGAGTTACGCAGCTCAGGCTAGAAGTGTTAGTGATGGCCACATTAAATCATGGCAGTCTCTGAAGCCTTTGACTGTCGGTCTGAGCCGTGTACAGAGATGTAGACCTCTCGGTTGGGGTTCGTATGATAATCGGAATCGGTGGTTGGAGAACAGGCGGTATGGCTCAGGATCAATGTCAGTGGCACAGATATACTCAGCCATTGTCTTTAGCATAGTCGTCATGCTAAATTCTAGCACTATCTTTTATTTTGATGACTTTCTACCACTTTTGACTGCTTTCTTCTATCTCATCTTGATGTAACCTCATTTGATGTACTTATGTGAGGTGTAGCAACTTGTAGAGCTACGTAATAATTCCAGGGCGTTTGTACTCTTTCCCTCCCTTTTCTATTAAGGAAAATCAAAATGAAAGTAAGGAACGTTTTGCTGTATGCATCTTTGAAGCTGCATATCTTATAGACCACTTTTGCTTTCACATTTGCTTCCGTTTTCTGTTTGCATAATGTTCCTCTAATACTTTGTATGGACCATCTTTCGACACTCCTTGTTGTTGTTCTAATACATAACAACAATGATAGTAAAAGTATGTGTGGTGGGTGAAGACATGATGTCATTTCATGTTCTTTAACTATTGATCTGAGACGTGTATGGAGGTGTAGTCTACCTGGGTTGGAATCCTAAGAGGATAAAAACCAATTGTTTGCGACTCTTGGTGATATGTCTCACAAATATCTATGGCACAGATATCTACATGCTATCATATTCGAATTCCTGAACTTTTCATTGATCTCTCCTTTGATAACCTTTTTTACCTTAATGTTCTTTTTACACAGCTATGTAGCATGTTAACTTGGGCTGATGCACTTTCCCCAAGTTCTACGTTGGTTTTTGCCTATCATATAAATTTTGTTTGATGTGTAAGGAACTCACAGGCAACACTGTACTCACCGTCCGCTTGAATCGACTGATTAGCGTCAAGAAATTTTAAGACGCCTGGAGACCGAGTTTTTAATAGCAAGAAGTTACTTGAAGCCAGAGGCAGCTTTACTGGTCATTCATGGTACCTTGTGGATGCAGACAATAGTCATTCATATTTTCTGGAGGTTCAATAGTTGACAGTGAATGCAGCTTGCTTTTGTATTTATTTACAATACTTCATGCAACCAACTTTCTCACGTCGACCCGTTCAAAACGACAATTTTAATGACCACCAAAATGGAAGGTATATTCAGCACACACTAAAGCGTGGTCAGAATCCGTTTAGATGCTTTAGAATGAGTGGCAATCCTGAATACACCCAAGCCATAGGCGATTGGTAGCAATATGATCCGATTTCATGCCTGAATGGCAGAGAAGATACACTAGGTAAGCTCCTACTCTAGCAGCACAAACAACTGCCACTGAGGATCAAGTTGGCTAGTCCAGCTTTGTCTCTAGAACACTGAGAGAACCAACGTTTTGATTCTGATTACACAGTTTCCTTATTAACGCAAGGTGAACACACGTTTTGGGCTGAAAGATAAAGAATTTATCCCAAGTAATTCACTGGATGCAACATACATCAATGGTGGGGTTTCCCAGAGTCCTACAAACACCTATCTGTCGTTCCATCTGTACCAAGATTTAAACATTGAAGGTAACCAGCTTGAACGGTATGCATAGTTTCAGAATAGGTAGAGATATCCTACAGAGGGATAGCGGGCCAAAACAATACAGCCAGATCAGAATCAAAAACAACTTAAAGCAGTTATACGAAATGATAATAAAAGTTAAAATGACTGAGACAGAACAGCAGTCCATGTAGTAAAGACATGACAAACAGAAAAACCGACGTAGAGCCTGGCACAGCAGTGAACTTATTCAAGTTACTACACCATTCAGTACACAAGAATACAAAAGTAAAGCGGAAACAGAAATAGTTCGAATGACACTTCATATTTTAAAGCAGAGATAAGAATCGACACACGCACACTGAGTGGAGACAGCCAGTAGGATTACTCTGGAAGAGGTAATTTACTCGTGGCCGTAAGAAGTCAGTTCTAGAGGATGAGCAGGCTTTTCCTAACCTTGATTCCACAAGCGTATTCAAGTGGCTTCAGTGTAAAGTGTTCGCCTCACGACCTAATAATCCTGAGTCTTACCTCTCACGGAGTGGTGAGCACCTGTACCTGACGTTTCCAGGACACATTTATGAAATTTCTAACGAACCGAAAACATGCATAACGTAATGAGGTGTCAAAACCAAAGTTTCTAAACACCGTGTGGATATGAAAACATGTGAAATAGTCTGAATGTAAGTGGTTACAGCAAAACTGAAATACACTGGCGTTTGTTTTGACAAAAGTACCGATCACTTCTTCAAGGAGTAGCGTCTGCCCTAGTTGGAGAAGATTGGAATTTTGGCAAAATCCCTGTCACATGTTTGCCACCACAAGCTACATTTGTTTCGCGTGAGGTACTCCAACATGACAGAGCCAGTCTGCTGCACCGTATTGTGTTCTGTGATACGACTGTGAAACACTATCTGAAAGTGAGATACATGACATGGTAAATATTCAAATATTGACGCCTTCGCGACATTTCTTGTGTTAATCGGGATCACAGTTCAAAAATTTCCAACACTTGGTCTTGAAATTACTTTATCGTACGATTTATTGATTCCTTTATGTTTCTTTCGCCTCTTTTCAGAGTTCAATTCCAAATGTTAGTTTTATGGTTGTAAGGATGATTAGGGAATCGCAACAACACCCACAGTTTTTGTTTGATCCTCATCTAATGAGCAGAAACAAATGTTGAGTGCTGACTCTAAATGTAAGTTTATTTAGAGGCTAATCAGATGCATGGTACTTCTGCTGTACACCACTCTTAACACTAACAGTTTTGGTGTCAGGAATGCACAGGGTATTTACAGATAACGAACATGGCCGTAATGATACGAACTAGTTGATCATCCTACCATGTTACGTATTTAAAAGTCATATTAAGGTTTATAGCCACTAGCTCAAAAATGGTCGACTCAGCTCCACATATTCCGAAAAGCAAATGGTTTACCTTTGTCTAATAGTATTTCCGTCGATTTGGTAATTTCTAAACATCTACATGCTTTTCATCTATATGATTCGATTCCAATGCAAGTTTGAAGCCTTTTAATTCCCATGTCTGCTGTAAACATGAAGCGTAAGCCCTAGCTCACTAGCAAATTAGAATCAGACTAGAATACTGAAGGTTTCTTTTCACGGTTGCTTTAACTGGGTGCAGCTTACTATCTGCTTCATAAAATAATCAGGAAGAAATAATTTGTAGCAAAACCCTGGTGAGTTTTGGAAATCAAAATAAGATAAGTTATAGTGCATCTAAATTACATAATAACCAAAGTAACAAATATTATCAGTACATACGTAGAATCCAGCATCAAGTGAGTATAAAATCATATTACATGGACTCTATGCTAACATGCACACAAAGGTGTCCGAGGAACTGAAAACCTGCCCAGACTAGTCACATAGCAACTTCAGGTCTATAGAAAGTAACAGGTCCTTCCGAGATTCAAGAATACAGAAGAATAACGCTAGAGGATTCCTACATCCATAGTCCATTTGTCTAGTAAATGCAAGTCCTCCTGAGGCCTATTCCTGCAACTTCAAATAACTCAAAGCAACAGGAACCGATAGAGAGATTAAATGTGCAACAGATATCACAGTGGCCAGTAGATTTGAGTGTCCAGTTAAAATACCCAAAATTACTTTCTCAACAGAATAATTAGCAGTGAATTTTACAAATAGAAAATGAAAGTTAGAAGTGATACCTGGATTCCCTTTGAAATATCACCAACAACAGTTGCTAAGTCAAGATCTTTCGATAAATATTTATCCATTAAGTAATTCTGCCGAGCACGCTTGATAATCTGGGGAAACATAAGTCAGAATAGCAAGTACCTTGTCATCAATGTCTGTGATATTTAGAACATAAATTACGTCAAAACCAAAGTAATCCACCAACACTCGACGAATTACATCAAATACGATATAAGTCCTTGGAAGTATGAAAAAACTTGTAACAGATTCCAAACCTGGCGTGACCCATGTGCGATACATCATACACTGTTGGACCACAAGTATACCATTTAACATGCCTGCCATTTTGAGGTATAAAAAGCTCCTAAATTACTTGCGGAAATGAATTTACAGCAATAAACACTACCTTCTGTGAAGTCAAGCTGTTGTGAAAATAAAGATTTGGTAGCTGAATATCTTTGTCCTTTGGAATTGGAGCAAACCATTTCGGCTGTACACGCCTTTCCATTCTGGTTGCTGTAAGACTAATGAACATAAACCTAACTAGGACATACATCTAAAGTGAAACAGTAGTGATGTATTTTCTCGGGCGAAAGATTGCCTGAATAAGCATCCGCACCTAACAGCACAGAGCATAAATGTATCTCGAAGGTATGAATTGCCCTCGCATAGAATGAAGCACGTGTATTTCTCGCATTCCAATATATAATACTTTGTACTAGCGTGCATAAACCGGCTGATTTCTCAAGCTCGCTCAGGTATCTGGTGGATTCTAACATCCAATATCATCAACGTTTTCGTAGGAAACTGTGATGGCAAGCTTCCAATGAACGCCAGGTTCATAGAAGGCACTCAAAGAGGTGTCTCATGTAAATTTAGTTGGAAAACTCTTTTCTTTCGGGTTTGTCACTGCACTGAAAGCCTCGATTAGAAGCAGGCAGAAGGGAAAGAGAGAGGGTTAATTGGACAGTGTCCGGGTGGAAACTTGTGATGAGTGGAGTTCCTTATGGATCAGTCCGTCGTCCCCTACTTTTCTTGTCATATCCTAACGAATCACCGCTAATGCTCAACTGTTCAGTGCTACTATTCACTGATGATGTAAAAGTGTGGAGATTCATACGCAGTGGTGCTGATACGCATGCACTTCAAGCGGATTTGGATAAGCTGGTATCCAATATCTTTTTACCACCTAGCGTAGGCCACTCGATTTCTTCGCATTCCCTTCTAGATTTTGCGGGACGGTTAAAGGTCTCTGGAGGATTCTCATGCACTGGGTCAACCCACTCGCCTGCCACAGCTCTGGCCAGGCGGAACGGCAGTTAGACGTCGATTGATTTCGTAGGGATTGTATCCAATATCCAATATCTTTTAACGTGCTAGTGTAAACCAATTGATTTCTTCTCGCTCGCTTCTAGGTCTTGCGGAACGCTTCCAGGTCTTTGGTGGATTCCACTGCAGTAGGTCTACCCACTCGACTACTGTTGCTCTGGTCAACCCGACGGGCGCTTGGGTGTTGTTTAGATTTGTAGGGAGTGTTGTTTGTTTGTTTGCTTTTTCTTCTTAAGGACTGTGGTGCAAATGGGTTCCCCAAATGTGCCAGTAGACAATTGCTCGGACTGGTTGTAAAAAGGAGATGAAAAATATGTGCAGAGAAATCAAGAGAGAGAAAGTGCAGAGAGAGACAAAAATAGAAAACGAAAAGGGATGAAGGGAGAAGAATAATATATTTAGAAAAGATTAGGAGAAAGGAAGCCGCACGGAGGAATAAAACATTGGTAGATTCTTGGGGAATGGTTGATAGGGAGAGCTTTTGTCAAAGTTTGGGAGCGTCAAGTCAAAAGGAAGAATAATAAATAACATGGTAGGAAGAATGGGAATACGGTAATTCTTCTAGTAGGAGACGGTAACTAGAGGGGACGTCTGCAGGAAGGTATAAGGTCGAGCCAAGTTCTCAGTGATAGTGGTTTTACAAAGTGTCCAGTAAGGGTTGTTCGCACCGAGTTAGTAAGTCGTGTTAGCCTAGTCCACATCCCGGTTGGATGAGCGCAAATCGTGCGTCATCGCGTAACTGTCCAGCCTCTTGAAGCTGTCAACAGACGGAGCAGTAGCAGCCTCGGCAGTCAATGCGTTCCAGTGGCCGCAAACTAGCAGACAGAAGTGTGATCACACACGGGTTTTCGCTCTTTGGTGAGCGATTCTCCTTGGGTTACCACGAGGATCGCCATAGTGGCCGTTCGGTAGGATTCCACTGTTCGGATGACTTGGGTTACTGAGTATTTTGTAGGCCGTTATCAAGTCACCACGTAATCTACGGTAGCTTGGGGAGTAGAGCCCCAGACCTTCCAGCCTGTCCTGATATGGTTTTTGCCTCATTCCTACGACACCCTTTGTAGCTCTCCTTTGGACTTTCTCCAGGAGGTTCACATCTCTTTTCAGATGTGGTGATGCAATGACGTTGTATACCTCTAGGTGGGATCGTGTGTAGGTCTTATGTAGCTTCAAAAAGAGTTCCGGGGTCAGGGCACCCAACTGTCTGTGCATGAAGTGCAGTACTGTGTAGGCTCTGGAGGCATCTTCTGGATAATTGGGGCTAATGTCTAGTTTGTCAGTCCTGGGTCTTTCTCTTTGGTGGTGTAGGAGAGTTGTGTTCCACAGAGAGAATATGGTACCTTATGAGAGTCTGGGGTGCGGAGAAATATGGCTCGGCATTTATCTAGGTTAAATGCAAGTCTATTAATATCCACCCACTCTGCAAGTAATCTGAGATCACTATGCAGTTCACTTGATTCTGTTTCTGACTTTACAGCTCTCCATGGCTTAAAATCATCAGCGTAGAGTAGAATTGGGGAGCTGAGGTACAGTGAGAGGTCGTTCACAAAAAGAAGGAACAGCAGAGGACCCGGAATCGCCCCTTGTGATACACCAGATGATGGAGTCCTCCAAGTCGAGCAAACTCTGTTGGCTTTTGTGCAGAACTGTCCACCGTCTAGATAGTCCTGCAACCATGAAAGCACTTGTCCGTTGATGCCCAACCTTTCTATTTTGTGGATAAGAACAGTGTGTGGAGCTGTGCCGAAAGCCTTGGTAAAACCAAGGAGAATAACATGGACAGGAATTTGGAGGTCCCAGCATGCCATCGACCTATCACCTGCCGCCAGAACGTTTGTGGCACAGGACCTACCCTTTCTGAAACCATGTTGTGCATCGCTAAGTGCTCCCCTCTTTTCTCAGTACTCCCTGAGATAGTCGTTTACCAGACTCTCCATTAGTTTTGACACCACTAGTAGGAGGGCTATGGGTAGGTAGCATTTTGGGTTCTGCCTGTCTCCACCTTTGAAGATGGGGCGGAATAGCACCTTTCCACTCTTGTGAAAGCATATCATTGTCTAAGAAGTGTTGAAACAAGTTACACAGCAGACCGCACAAGACACCCGTGCATTGTTTCAGCACGGCCGGTCGGGTGTCATCACACCCTGGTGATTTCCTTGCGCGGAGCTTTGACAGTTTTTCGAGGACCATAGCAGGAGTTACTTTTATTTCAGGTAACTCTACTGCGTTTGGTGGTGCCGGCTTTCGGTCAGGCAGTTGGTAATTTTGGTTTGATAGGGACGTGTTGGGTTGCGCATCGAAGGTGTCGCTAAAGGCTTCGGCGATCTCTAGTCCGGAGAGGCTCTCTCCATCTAGGCTTTTCAGGATGCAAGCCCCCTGGCTGGTGGATTTTCTGCCTGCCATGAACCGATATAGGTTTTTGGGATTTGCCCAGAGCTTTTGGGCAAGGTTCGTCCGGAATGACCTTCTGTCTCCCCTCACTCTAATGTTACATCGATTTCTTGGGGCAATATATACGGTGTGGTCAGACACTTTTTTGGAGGTCCTCCACTTGTGCCATGCTTTCCTCTTGGCTTTCGAAAGGCGTTCGGTGCCTCGCTTCAGCCACGAGGTTCGCTTCCGTAGTATTGCTGTGATTACTAGGACGTCACTGGTAAAAAGGTAGCCCGGTTTGGACGGCTTTCCGCCCGGCCCCCAGTGAGTGTCATCCCCAATATTCCCGTGTAGCTCAGCCTTTCTGATAGTGTTGAGTAGGCTTCGGTCGAACCTTCGGCTTGAGGTTCGCTTGTCCTGCCCAAGATTGAGAGTTGGGGCATTAAAGTAGCCGGCTATAATGACCTGGTCATATCCAACGAACGTCGCTCGAGACATTACTTGCACCAGTTGCCGGTTACCTTCCACGCTGCTAGTAGGTGTCCTGTAGACGCCTCCTACCAGGTACTTGGTTTGTCCAACCTTAAATTGACACCAGATGGTATGATATGTTCAGAGACTGAAGTGTAGATGGGTTGTCCGTGTCATGCCACCAGAAGACTGTTCGGAATTAGTGCGAGAGAGTATGGAAAGGAAGGTTGGTTTAAGGGTGATGACTGGAAATCAACTCCCGCAGAAGTGCGGTAATACACATCGGTTACAGCTATTGTTTCGGTATCCCCTTGATGATACATTGCCGCTCCCTATCCCTGAACTGAAAGACTTAGATGCCACCATAGGCCATCATTTGAAAACTCCAGCACACTGTAATGCAACCTCAGAAACGGCCTACGTGTATTGCGGTCCATCGGCAGGGCTTTCAAAAGTATTGACTACGATATGCTCAGGATAGTCCACTACGGAGTCAGCTCATCATGAGTCTACGTTTCTCCCAGCTTGTGGTCAACGTCTGAAACTTCCTACCTGAGCAAGTAGTATGAGCGAATTTGGCCAGCGCGTTCATAAGAAACTAGGTCTTCACAGAGATTTCTTCTACAATGATCAACACAGGACAACTGGCCTACTATCCTTACCGCTGAAAACAGAGTTTTTGATCTCGTGCGTCTGCTTCTTGGGGCTTGGTTCTTGTTGTTCGATTTGCCGCAGCGGTTGGCAAGGAAATTTCTTCTGCCCCTCTTCTCTTAGCTACCCTGAGATGAACGTTTTCATGGGGCGGCAATTTTAATTTGTAGATGGTTAGCGAGCAATTGGTTCTTGGGGCGATTAGGGTTCTTTCGTGACTCTTATCTGTGTATCCGCTTGGACAGAAATAGCGAGATAATGATAAAAAGCAGCTGGGAAGGTAGAAGTAGGCAGTGCAAGTCTGGTTATTAGAGGGGAGTTAGTATATAATGCAAGTGTGTGAACAAGTGAGACGATGAGTGGCTAATTGTTAGGAAGTAGTGATAGGCCAATGGGATCGCTAATGCCTTGGATACATCTTTGGTAATCTGAACGAAACAAAGTGACTATCTGACCATCTTTAGAGTGAGTCTAGTGATGGTGCTGTGAATACATCCCGCAGTAAGGTGCTTCATAACGTGCGTGCTCTCGAGAAAACGAAGTCAGGGCTGACTTGGCGTTGGTAGCAGATTCATTCGCTTGCCAACTGGTAAACCTGATGGATGGCCAAGTGGTCTAGATTAAGCCTCACAGAGTCAGATAGAGGCGAGGAAGCAGACAGGATTATATTAGGGATAAAGCAAACAAATGTAGTAACTTAAGCACTGGTGTGGTGACTGTAGAGGTGAGACTAATTGTGCTGACCAGTGGAGAAACAAAGGCCCAAGGGCACTACCCTGTATAGCTCCTCTAGTCAAGTGTTTAGGTCCAGACTACAAGGAGCTTAATTCCACGATTTGAACGCAATAACT